GCCACTGGAGGCCAGTTGAATGTGAGCAGGGCACCTCTGCAAGCCGTAGCTGTTGCGTCCCGTGTAGCCAAGGCTCTCTTCTCATCGGTCCTGTTTCTTCTCGTCTGTCCCGTCTCTCCCCATTGCTTGTGCCCGTGCTGCAGAGTGAGCCCCTCTCCTGGCACGGCAGCCACGTGAATCGGCTGCTGTGGCTCTGCAGGCTTTGCTGTCGCGGCACCCGGCGAGGCGGAGGTGACGCGTGCCGGCACAGAGTGGACGTGCGTGTCCCTGGGCCGGAGAGGCTGAGGCTGCCAGTGTGGTGAGGATAAGGGAGAGCGTCCTGCGGCAGCGTGGCCTCCTGCCTGCCCGTGTGGTGAGGATAAGGGAGAGCGTCCTGCGGCAGCGTGGCCTCCTGCCTGCCAGTGTGGTGCCTGGTGGGCACGGCTGGAGGACCGCAGAGGAGCCGAGGCCAGGGCAAGACCTGCTGCAGAGGAGGAACTGGAGGCAGTGCTGAGGCTGCGGGGGGGCTGCCTCCCACCAGGAAACCTTGACGGGAGGAGGAAGGGAAGGCCAGGGTGAGGTGAGGTGAGGCTGGCAGCAGGAGTGGAAATGCTGGGTTGACACTCCAGCTGTGATTCTCTTGGATGCCTTGTGCTTCTCGGCACCAGCTCCGGGACAGGCAGGGCTGGTGGCTCAGGCGGTGCATCTTGTCTATGCCAAGCATCTGCCCCGTGGCAGGACGGAGCACCACGTCCTGTTGGCTGGCCACCTCCTTCTGCCAAGGCCTTTCAACAGTGCTGTGACACCAGCAGAGTGACCTTCGGTGGCAACGGCAGAGAGGAGTTGTCTCAACCTGTGGTAGAAACCCTGGAGGTGGCTGCTCAGCCTGGGCAGCGGTAGCCTGGCAGCACAGCGATGGCAGGCGCTGCCCTCGGCTGCCTGCTCAGATGCTGCGGGTTGGGGCGGTTTTGTCCTTGAGGGAACTTCTCAGAAGCTGCACCCCAGTTTATCTTTGAATCAGAGGCAGAAACAAAAGCCGTGTGACCTTTTCGGTGGAATGCGGGGGGATTAATTAGTTCACAGCTGTTCAGAGGTGCAAACCAAGAGGTAGTTGTTCACAGCCCATTGGGTCCTGAATCTCAACTTGAACTACATCTCTCCATGCCTGACAAATTTTTTATACTACTACACAGATGGATGTGTTTTCAGCAAAATCTTCCATGTGGAAGATTTAAAAAAATAAAAAGTAACTCCAGGTTTGGAATCTTGCTGCCAGGGAGAGTGTTTACAAGGAAGCAGCCTGGTAAACAAGGAAATTTGGTGAGTTGCAAAGAAGTGAAATTCTACAGTATGGCAACAATTCCCAGCTTGTCAGAGCCTCACAGTAGTCCCAGCCACCTCAGGCTGACTAAAAGATCTTCATTTTTACAGGCAGCCTCAGGAAGCTAGGTTGGACTGAAAAAGTAACAGAATTATGTGAAACTTGTCTGAGTCACTGACCCTGCATCTCCACTAGTTCTTCCACAGCACTGCTCGTGAAGGAGGACAGAGAAGGCTGCAGCTCAGAGAGGAGATCTGCCCTTTCTGGTCGCCACGAACTTCAGATCTCCTCCCCTAGCCTCTCCCAGTCTTTTGTGCTTTCTGTGCTAACCCTTCCAGTGCAGCGTAAACTGACGGAGGCAGCAGCTAGAAACCTTGCTCTGAAAGCTGCTGTGAGTGCCTTGGGACCAGCAGCAGGTATGCACATGAAAACTGTTCTCGTCCTCCTCGTTCTGGCTTTAGCCACGATATTTGCCTTAGTCTGTGTGTTGCTGACCAGAGGAAGGGCCCCCAGCACCTGCCAGCACCAGCCCCGGGAGCAGGAGGACACCGATGCTGGCCAGAGCCTGGTCTTTGCCGACCTGACAGGCGAAGAGATGGTGCAAGTGGTGCGGTACCTGCAGGGAAACCTCGGGGTGCAGCTGGTCGACGCCTCGCGTGCCGAACCCTCGGACAACTGCATCGCCTCCGTCGACCTGCAGGTCCCCGCCAAGGCAGAGGTGCTGCGGTTCCTGGACGGGGGGGGGCCTCGCCCCCCCCGGGAGGCGCTGGCTGTGCTGTACTTTGGGAACCAGCCAGACCCCAACGTCACCGAGTACGTGGTGGGTCCGCTGCCGGCGCCGGTGTATCACCGGGATGTCACGGTGCGGAAGTACGGCGGGAAGGTGCCGTACCACCGCAGGCCGATGCTGGCTGTTGAATACAAACAGATTGCGGGGTTTTTAAAAGGCCAAGTGTTTGCCACCGCTCCATCTTTCATGCGTCAAGTAATGGAGTATGACGGGGCCAGTCTAGCACCCCTGGCAGCCGCTCCCCGTGGATTCCAGTCTGGAGATCGGATCACCTGGTTCGCTTTGTTTCAGAACGTGAGTGGGTTCTTTGTGCACCCGGTGGGGCTGGAGGTGCTGGTGGACCACAGCAGCCTGGACGTCTCCCAGTGGGCGGTGAGCAGGGTCTTCTACAACGGCCAGTACTACAAGGACATGGTTCAGCTGGAGAGCGCCTACGTGCAGGGTCGTATCAGCGTGGAGAAAGTGAGGAAAGCGCCGCGGGACGGGGACTTCTCATCCATGAAGCCCCGAGCACCCTCGGCTGCGCTGCTCCCTTTGCAGTACGAGCCCCAGGGTCCCCGCTACAGCGTCAGGAACAACCACGTCCTCTTCCAGGCCTGGAGCTTTGCCTTTGGGATGAGCGTGCAGACGGGCCTGCGCCTGTTCGACATCCGACACAAGGGGGAGAGGGTTGCCTATGAAATCAGCATCCAAGAGGCGTTGTCGGTGTATGGCTCCAACTGCCCTGGAGGGATGTCGACGAGGTACATGGATGGGAGCTTTGGGATCGGGCGCTACACCTCCCCCTTGGTGCGGGGGGTCGACTGCCCGTACTCAGCCACGTACGTCGACACACACTCTCTGTCTGAGACCCTGAGTCCCAGGAAAAGAAAGGCTTCCCTCTGCATCTTTGAGCAGAACCTGGGCTCCCCTCTGAGGCGCCACTACTCCAACCTGCAGTCGCTCTACTACGGTGGGCTGGTCAACTCTGCTCTGGTTGTTCGGTCCATTGCGACTGTGGGCAACTACGACTACGTGTGGGACTTCATCTTCTACCAGAACGGGGCCATCGAAGGCAAGGTCCAGGCCACGGGGTACGTGACCTCATCCTTCCTCCACGGGGATGGTCTGAGATACGGCAACAGGGTTTGGGAGCACACACTGGGCATGATACACACTCATTCCATCAACTATAAAGTGGACTTGGACGTGGGAGGTAGGTCTGGGTCTTCCTTTCATATCTGCCCTTATACAGGTAAACCCCAGAGCTTTGGCAAGATTGCCTCCCAGTCCGTAGAGTCCCTGATAACTGACATCGGAACTCGGCTTTCTCGCTCTCCTAACCCCTTCTTTCACTTCAAAATTATTTTTCTGTGTATAAAGCAGTCTTCAAGGCCATGTAGTTGAAGGCAGTGGGAATTGTCTGGGAGCTCCGTGTTCAGCCCAGGGAAAGTATGAGAGGTAGCAGCTGAAAAATGTTTGTGTTTCCTTGAGGCCTCATGTCTGGCAGAGTGCGTGTTGCTATAGGCATGGCCCCGCAGACGGGAGGGACAGCCCTGTCTGCAGGGCTGAAGGCGTGAGCCTGCTCTTGCTGCTCCTGGTGCTGGTCATGAAGCTTCTTGTAACTGGGAAGGTCCTTTCTGTATTTTGTCTGCCCAGCGTAAAGCAGGGCAGCTGGGCTGGTGCTCTGCAGGGCTGAGCTTGCACAGCTCTATCCCTGCTTCTCTTTTGAGGAAACACTTGTAAGTTGGATCCTGAGTCTTGGGCTGCAAAGCCACTGCTCTGAGCCAGTGAATTCCCCTACTCTTGCACAGAGTCACGGTTTTTGGCGGTGGATCCCTGCTGAGGGTTATTTGAGTCCAGGAGCAGCCCTTTGCTGCACCGTCTGGCAGGCTGAGCAGGGGAGCGCTGGCATCCACCCTGGGAGGAGCACGGATGCTCAGCCTGAACCGACAGCTTTGCTTCCCCTGAAAGGCCATTCCAGTAACTGCAGCCCAGGGAGGTGCAAGGGCGGTGGTGGTGCTGGAGCACAGACTGAAAGCATTAGGTGTCTGTTATTGAAACCCGCTCCTGTAAAACGTAGGGGAAAAAAATGTTTTACATCTGCACGGAACCAAAGAGATTGCTGGTAGGCAGCGGACTGCATCTGTACCAGCCCGGGGAGGAGCGCAGCTCCTGTAACCCATGCTGTCTCCTGGATTGTGGGGAGCAGTTGGATAACTAACGGGTGCCAAGCTGCAGCTGACTCCAATGCAAGCGTTCAGTCCTGGCATGTGTCCTCTCTTGTACCTGCCTGCGATGCAGAGGTTTGTGTGACCCTGAAAGCTGCTGCTGCTGTCATTACTGTCAAAACCAGGGCTGGTACTGGTTTCCTTCCTGCAAGTGAGGCTCAGAAACGTGCTAAATTACAGTTCCTGCATGGTAGCAAGGTCCTTTTCTGTAGCTGCTGTACCCCTCAGTTTCCCTGCTCTGTTTACAGAAGCTGAGCCCTGGCTGCTGCAAAATGCTCTTGAGCAGAGTTGTGTAAAATCCCAGACTTGTTCCCCTTAGCGAGGGAGGGGAGCCCTGTCCTGAGCAGCAGGGCTTGGGGCCATGCGGGCTGCTCAAGCCGTGCCCGGCGGGACTCCCACCTTCTGAGCGCAGGGAAGGGAAAACCGCAGCACAGCAAAAATGGGTCATCTCCCACACAGGTTTCTTGGATCCTGATCTGAGGCTGGTGTAGCACCTGCAGGGAGAAAGGGCGATTATTCCCTGGCTGGAAGTGAGAATGAGAACGCAAGTTCCTAAATTAACATGATAGCAAGAGTGATAAATTGATCCAGTGCTGTAGTGGTTTCAACCCCTGCCCAGCCCCTCCTGCCTGTGCCTCAAACTGTCCCCACCACAAGGGTGTGAAGTAGACCACCATCTCCAGAAAGGCATCCTCGGCGGGCGGTGTGCCGCTGCCGCCCCGTGCGGGGCCGGGCGCGTGGGGCCGGAGGTGCACGAGCAGCTGCCTCGCACCGCGCTGGGGTGGCCCCGGTGCCCTGGCTCGCTGCTCCCCTCGCCGGGGAAGGTCCGTCGTGCAGTCAGGAGTACAAAGTTTCCTGACAGTAGCCATTTCTGTCCGTGACAGCTCTGCTCCGAGGATTGTATCTGCGGGAGTGGGGTTGGGATGGCTGAATGGGGACAGATGTGTCCTGTTCGCCATCCTGCAGCCTCTGCTCTTCCTGGTGCAGCTGCTCCAGGGGCTGCCTGTCGTTTGCAGTTGCTGCCAGAGGTTCAGCAAGCGCTGCCTGTTCTCGGCAGGGACCGTCCTCCTGTCTCAGCTAGTCTGCCCACAGCTGAATCCAGGCTGGAGCTGCCAGGTTGCTTCCCTCAAGGTTGGGAGGGACTTGGAGGCAACAGAGAATGGCGACAGGGAGAACTGGCATGTGGAGGTGCGGGGGAACCGGCAGGTCTTGGGCTCTCCTGGAGTGCCAGCCCAGCCCAGCCCTTCAGGGGAGCGGGGCTGGTCCCCAGGCACCGGGGTGCAGAAGGACCGGGCCGGCTGAGCCTGCTCCTGTGGCATCACTGTGCTCCCACGAGACAGGACGGGGTGTCCTGGGAGATGCTGGGAGAAGCAAAAGCCCCTTGGGCAGACGGAGGCCAGGGCTCTTTGTGGTGTCACCCTGCAGCAGAGACACGCAGCAGTAGCTTGGGGAGTGACTCAGATGCCGGCTCCCAGCTGGCTTCCTCAGTGTGTCTGGGGTGGGGAGGAAACAGGCTGAACTGGCTGGGACCTGTGATCTCCTCTCCGAGTCCCCTGCAAGCTCCAGGCTCGCTCCCCACCTCGCAAGCAACGCCTTTACGCCCACAGTCGGGAAATGAATTAAGAGCCTGGTCTGCAGGTGAGGGACGCATTCTGGATGCTGCAGCCAAACCCTGCACAGTGCCTCTGCGCTTGGAGAGATGAACCCCAAACTTTCCTACCTTCTCCTGTTTGGGGCTGCGGTGATAATCTTCATCCTCTCCTGCATGCTACTGAGCAGGGGCAGGCGATCGCCCAGCTGTGATTCCCAGCCCCACATCGTGGAGAAGATGGGAACCACGAGCCAGAGCCTGGTCTTTGCCGACCTGACAGGCGAAGAGATGGTGCAAGTGGTGCGGTACCTGCAGGGAAACCTCGGGGTGCAGCTGGTCGACGCCTCGCGTGCCGAACCCTCGGACAACTGCATCGCCTCCGTCGACCTGCAGGTCCCCGCCAAGGCAGAGGTGCTGCGGTTCCTGGACGGGGGGGGGCCTCGCCCCCCCCGGGAGGCGCTGGCTGTGCTGTACTTTGGGAACCAGCCAGACCCCAACGTCACCGAGTACGTGGTGGGTCCGCTGCCGGCGCCGGTGTATCACCGGGATGTCACGGTGCGGAAGTACGGCGGGAAGGTGCCGTACCACCGCAGGCCGATGCTGGGCAGCGAGTACGAGCAGGTGGGAGCATTCCTGGAGACGGTGGCATTTGCTGCAGCCCCGACCTTCCTGAAAGAAGTCTTTGAGTACGACGGTACCAATGTGGCGTTTCAGACCGCAGCCCCTCACGGATTCCAATCTGGAGACCGTAAGTCCTGGTTCATTGTATTTCAGAACGTGAGTGGGTTCTTTGTGCACCCGGTGGGGCTGGAGGTGCTGGTGGACCACAGCAGCCTGGACGTCTCCCAGTGGGCGGTGAGCAGGGTCTTCTACAACGGCCAGTACTACAAGGACATGGTTCAGCTGGAGAGCGCCTACGTGCAGGGTCGTATCAGCGTGGAGAAAGTGAGGAAAGCGCCGCGGGACGGGGACTTCTCATCCATGAAGCCCCGAGCACCCTCGGCTGCGCTGCTCCCTTTGCAGTACGAGCCCCAGGGTCCCCGCTACAGCGTCAGGAACAACCACGTCCTCTTCCAGGCCTGGAGCTTTGCCTTTGGGATGAGCGTGCAGACGGGCCTGCGCCTGTTCGACATCCGACACAAGGGGGAGAGGGTTGCCTATGAAATCAGCATCCAAGAGGCGTTGTCGGTGTACGGCTCCAACTGCCCTGGAGGGATGTCGACGAGGTACATGGATGGGAGCTTTGGGATCGGGCGCTACACCTCCCCCTTGGTGCGGGGGGTCGACTGCCCGTACTCAGCCACGTACGTCGACACACACTCTCTGTCTGAGACCCTGAGTCCCAGGAAAAGAAAGGCTTCCCTCTGCATCTTTGAGCAGAACCTGGGCTCCCCTCTGAGGCGCCACTACTCCAACCTGCAGTCGCTCTACTACGGTGGGCTGGTCAACTCTGCTCTGGTTGTTCGGTCCATTGCGACTGTGGGCAACTACGACTACGTGTGGGACTTCATCTTCTACCAGAACGGGGCCATCGAAGGCAAGGTCCAGGCCACGGGGTACGTGACCTCATCCTTCCTCCACGGGGATGGTCTGAGATACGGCAACAGGGTTTGGGAGCACACACTGGGTACAATACGCACCCATTCCATCAACTATAAAGTGGACTTGGACGTGGGAGGTAGGTCTGGGTCTTCTCTCCTTTGTGCCCTTCCTTAGTACTGATAGACTCTCAATACTTGACATTTGTGGGCCTTATACAGATTTTTTTTTTCTGCATGTGGGGTGGGATGATGAGGGGAGCAGAGCATGGGAGGACTTTGTGCTCCAAGCACTGGCTGGCCCAGGCAATGGGTGCTGAGCCCTGGCCCCTCTGCCAGAGCAATGCTGATGCTGGCCATCGAGCGCTCTCAGCCAGCTCTTTGCCTTGTCCCTGGATTTATTTGCTCTTGTGCCCCTGCTGTTGATCTGAGCCTCTGGCTCATGACTCTTCTTGGTGGGAAGACCTGAACTGCACAGCGCTGCTCCAGTTTTGTGATGTGCAAATGTGCTCAGAGCCTGGGCTCTTCCTAGTGCTTTCCAGCTCGCAAGACGCATGCTGATGAGCATAAGCACGGTGCCTGGGCCATCAGGAGCTTGAGTTAATTAGACTGTGTTTGCACCAGAAAGCAAAGCTGTTGTTCTGCACTGGGATGAAGCTCCCCTATTGTCCCTTGCAGAGGGCGAGGGTCCCCATGGATGGTGGTGTCTGCCACAGCTTGGTCTTGCCTGGGGCAGATAAACCTGCAGTCACACAGCCATAGATAAATGTACACGATGTACAGTCGCAGTGTGTGGAGCTGCAGAGCAGTAACTGCTCTCCTAAGCAGAAGCCAGTGCTCAGAGCCCGGTGTGCAGGAAGGGATGACGGGGAGAGTGAGCTCTGGCTGCAGTGATGTCCATGGGGAGCAGGGGACTGTAGGGATGCCCCTCAGTGTCTCTGCTCTTGCTTTGCAGGGGTGAAAAACTCCCTGGTGGCCCACGACATGGTGTTTGAGATGGCGCGGGCTCCCTGGAGCCCAGAGCAGCAGATAGAGCGGCCGCGACTCGCCAAGAAGGTCCTGGACACGGAGGACCAGGCTGCCTTCCGGCTCCAGTCGAAGATGCCCAGATACATCTACTTCGCAGCCAACAGCAAAAACAAGTGGGGCCACCAGCGTGGTTACAGGATCCAGATCACCAGTTTTGCAGGGGACCATGTCCCCGAAGCCAGCTCCATGGAGAAGGCCATCAGCTGGGCAAGGTCAGGCTGCTCTGACTGGGGGACAGCAGGTTCTCAGAGACACCCCCAGCCCTGTCCGCTGGGGAGGCATCGCCTGGATGTTCCTTGATGGGGAGGCACAGGGAAAACACTTTCCGGGACTGGGGTTACTCTGCAGGAGCAGGCTTGAGCTCTGCAGACCCTGGGGAGCTGGGTTTTAGCTCTGCCCTGACCCAGGGGGGTGCTCCCATCTTTCTTCTTGTCCTCAGGTACCAGCTGGCCGTCACCCGGCGCAAGGAGGAGGAGCCCACCAGCACCAGCATCTACAACCAGAACGACCCCTGGACACCCACTGTCACCTTCGCCAGCTTCATCAACAATGAGACCATCACCAACGAGGTGGGCTGGGGTCCCCTGGGCTGGAGCTGTACTACCCAGCTGTGGCAGGAGCCCCAGAGCTGCCCCAGGGGCTGAGTGACCCTGGCATTGCCCATGGGGCGGGGGGCTCAGCTGGGAGAGCAGCAGCTCTGGGGAATGGGGAAAGTGGGTTTGAGCATCCCCTTTTCTGTGTATCTGCTTGGTGCTTTGGTCAGAGCATGTAGATCAGAGTGCAGAGCAGGAGCTCGTTTCTCCCTATGGAGAAATGCTGGCAAAATGTCAGGAAAATCTCTACAAGGCACGAGATTGACCGCGAGGCTCAGGGCAAGGGCCCTGCTGCTGGTTGGATATCTGTGGCCATGGCTGTGGGCAGGTCTTTGGGGAAGGGAGGGGATCTTTCCCAGGAGGGGGGAGCTCGGCATGTGGGAATGCGGCTGGGCTGGTGTCTGTGGAGGTCCCCTCCTGCTCTCCTGTCATTTTCCATGGCCCCTGTGCAGATTTTGGTCACTGCCGCTGCAGGCTTCTGAAATAACTGTGGTCTTGTGGCTCTTCCCTGCCTAGGACCTGGTTGCCTGGATAACCACTGGTTTCCTTCATATCCCGCACTCTGAGGATATTCCCAACACTGTGACAGTGGGAAACTCGGTTGGCTTTCTCCTGAGACCCTACAACTACTATGACCTGGACCCCTCCATATTCTCACACGATGGCGTATTTTTCACCAGTGAGCAGGACTTCATGGCCTGTGAAATCAACCCGATTGCATGCCTGCCCAAAACTGCCTCTTGTTTGCCAAACTTCCCTCCATTCACCTATGATGGTTTCCAAAATACGAGCAGGCTTTAATGCTACAGGACAGTGTTAGGAGACACAATCAGAGATACCAGGTTGACTGTTCTGTCTCAGTTTTCAGTTTTTTAGTGAAGTTGTCTCAATTTCCATTGTGCAATGACTTCGCTTTTTATCACTGCTTTTAAAATAGTGCTCTTTAAAAGGGAAGCATAATCTTCCTGGCATGATGCCAGATGGGAGTCTACATTATCTCTGTTAATTGCTGAATTTGAATCTGTCACAGGAGGGAAGTGAGGAGAAAGTTCTGTTCCTCTGCTGTAGAAGCAAGTGCTGTGTAGTGCCTATCTCAGGTTAAAAAAAAATGAAAATGATTCTGGTCCAGTGGGCTCTCAAGTGTCTCGTTCTTATGACTTACAGCAGTGTCTGCTGGGGGGGTGATGCCATGTCTCTGACATGTTCCCTGCACCCACAAACCAGCCCATCAGCCAGGCTGTGGGCACCCGCCCAGACACGGAGACAGTCCAGCAGAAGGGACAGGCGGGGGGAGTCCCAGGGCGCTGGCACCGAGCTCTGCAGGGGCTCGGGGTGGCGCTGGGGACAACCAGGACCCGCTCGGGCACTCGCCACTGGGTGTGAGGGGAGCGGAGGGGACGGCTGCAGGGATGGGTCTGGCCGTCCCAGCACCGTCCCCATGGGTGTCTCTGCACGAAAGAGCCAAAGCTCAGCCCCATGGGCAGCGCGTGGGCCAGCTCAGCCCCTTGCAGCCTGACGCTGGCCGGGTTCCCACGAGAGCCCTGCTCCAGGCTCGACCAAGGTGTGGGAGTGGCAGGGCTGCTCGTTTGCCAGGATGCTGGGTGGGCTCTGGAGCCCTCGTCCCCCTCCTCGCAGCCCCGTCTGTGCCAGGACAGAGCCCAGCGCCGGGACCCACCTTTGGGGGATGATGAGCTGCTGTCCCCTCCCTCCCTCCTGGCTGCAGGACCGGTGCCTTCCCATGCGTGGGGTCAGCGGCAGCAGCGTGTGATGCTGCGGTGTCTCTGAGCAGGCTGCAGAGGCGTTGCTGGTGATGGCGGGGTCGTGGCAGGGATGGATGGGGCCATGGTGCTGCGCTTGGTGCTGCTCTGCACTGAGGAGCATTGTCCTTGCAGCCGCTGCTGTCTGCATCTGTGGGGTTAAGAAAAGGAGGTGCTGGGAGATGCATGTATTTCTCCCAAGTGACCATACCTGTTCTCTCCAAGGTCTGCATGGCAGCATGTGGGACAAGAGGGGAACGCAGTAGCATTAAGTTTACTTAAAATTTATGACCCACTGGGGGAAGCAGAGCAAAGCTGCCTTTTATGGTTCCCAGTAAATCCTGGGCATTTCTGAGAACATCCCCCTACAACCTCCTCTGGGCTGTTCCCTGTTGAAAAAATGAAAGAAAAAAATAAACCCATCCAAACCCAGCCCCTTCTGTTGGTGGGTTGCTGGGAGGATTCTGCAGCTGGGAACCCGCCCTGCCAGACTGCAGGAGCTCTTAGAGCCTGTGCAGACATGAACATGAAAACTGTTCTCGTCCTCCTCGTTCTGGCTTTAGCCACGATATTTGCCTTAGTCTGTGTGTTGCTGACCAGAGGAAGGGCCCCCAGCACCTGCCAGCACCAGCCCCGGGAGCAGGAGGACACCGATGCTGGCCAGAGCCTGGTCTTTGCCGACCTGACAGGCGAAGAGATGGTGCAAGTGGTGCGGTACCTGCAGGGAAACCTCGGGGTGCAGCTGGTCGACGCCTCGCGTGCCGAACCCTCGGACAACTGCATCGCCTCCGTCGACCTGCAGGTCCCCGCCAAGGCAGAGGTGCTGCGGTTCCTGGACGGGGGGGGGCCTCGCCCCCCCCGGGAGGCGCTGGCTGTGCTGTACTTTGGGAACCAGCCAGACCCCAACGTCACCGAGTACGTGGTGGGTCCGCTGCCGGCGCCGGTGTATCACCGGGATGTCACGGTGCGGAAGTACGGCGGGAAGGTGCCGTACCACCGCAGGCCTGTTACCGGTAAGGAGTACCTGGATATCAACACCCTCATCCAGCGGGAGCTGAGAAAGGCACCACGCTTCCTCTGTGCGTGCTGCGAGTCCGACGGGACCGACCTGGCCATCCTCACGACGGCCCCGCGGGGCTTCAAGTCTGGCGACCGCATGACCTGGTTCGTCCTCTTCCACAGCGTGGCCGGCACCGGCTACTACCTCTCGCCGGTGGGGCTGGAGGTGCTGGTGGAGCATAAGGAGCTCCATGTCTCCCACTGGCAGCTGCGCCAAGTCTTCTACAACGGCCAGTTCTTTGCCAGCATGGGGGATCTGGAGAATAAGTTTATGACCAACTTGCTGGAGGTCGTCCAGATCAAGAAGCCCCTGGCTGACACAGTGCTGGGCTCGATGAGACCTCGGCGCCCGCCCAGCTCCCTGGGCCCGCTGCAGTACGAGCCCCAGGGTCCCCGCTACAGCGTCAGGGACAACCGCGTCACCTTCCAGGGCTGGAGCATCGCCTTTGGCATGAACCCCAACTCCGGCCCACGCCTCTTTGACATCAGGTACCGTGGAGAGAGGATTGTCTACGAGCTGAGTCTCCAGGAGGCTTTAGCCCTGTACGGCTCCAACTGCCCCGCGGGCACAGTGACCCGCTACCTCGATGGCAGCTTCGGCATCGGCAGGTTTGCCTACGAGCTTGTCCGGGGCCTCGACTGCCCCTACACGGCCACCTATGTGGACCGGCATTACCTGGTGGAGTCAGACACCCCCAAAACCAACCAAAATTCGCTCTGCATTTTTGAGCATGACGCTGCCCTCCCTCTGCGGCGCCACTTCTCTGACTCGCATTCCTCGTACTACGGCGGGCTGCGGAAACGCACGCTGGTCATCCGTGCTGTCTCCACTCTCATCAACTACGACTACATCTGGGACTTCATGTTCCACAGCAGCGGGGCCGTGGAAGTCCGGGTGCATGCCACCGGCTACATCAGCTCCTCCTTCCTCCACGGCCGAGGCACTGACTATGGCAACAGAGTTGGGCCCCACACGCTGGGGACGATGCACCTCCACCACATCCACTACAAGGTGGACCTGGATGTTGACGGTAGGTTTGGGTGCCCTTGTGCGTGGCTGCAGTTCACTGTGGTCTGCGGCTCTGCCAGGAGCGCGGAGCTCGAGAGGGTTTTCCCTTCTGCTTCACAGGGCAGCTGAACTCCCTGGAGACCCAGGACATGGAGTACAGGCTTGTGACTGAACCCTGGAACATGCCAAACACCATCGAGCGGCCGTACCTCCGCAGGGAAAGGCTGGAGAGTGAGGATGAGGCGGCGTTCCCGCTCAACGACCCCATGCCCCGCTACCTCTCCTTCGTCAGTCCCAATTCCAACAAGTGGGGGCATCCGCGCAGCTACCGGATCCAGATCACCAGCTTCGCCGGGAAGCACCTGCCCACCACCAGCCCCATGGAGAGGTCCATCAGCTGGGGCAGGTAGGTGCCAGGGCTGGGGCGTGTGTGGGTCCCAGCCTGCCACTGCATCCCCGGCTGCTCCTGCCTCCCGGCAAGCCTGTACCAGGATGCAGGGAAGGGTTAAACAGCAACATGCATATTTTTGTGCTCTGAAAAATCCCTTGAAAAGTTTCTCAATAACATCTGTTCATACTAGTTCACAGGCAGGAATCTGACCCCAGATAAGATTAATTTAGAGCAATTACATGTGTTTTTCCCTGTGAGGGAGACTAGGCTGTACTCCCAGGGGAAGCACTGGCATCCCCAGCTCTTGGCATCTTCAAGTGACGACAGGATATCTCTTGGAAAATGCTTGGGATGAACACAGAACCGGGTCACTGCCAGGGTGAAATTTAATGGCTCACGTTCTGGGGGAGGCTGTAGCTGAAGTGAGGGCGTCGGGCGGTGAGCAGCAGTGTCTGCATGGGGATGCATTTGTGTTTCCCAGCTGTGCTGGAGCAGCTGTGGGCAGTGAATGATCCCCTGCGAGCCCCAAGGTGCCGGGGCTGCTGCCTGCCCCCGGCAGCCCTTTCCTCCCCCAGCCCAGGACAGACCGGGTCCCGCAGCACGTACCAGGGACGCACCCAGCCCCAGTTTGCCCGTGCATCCCCAGGCAGCGATGCTGTGGCCGCCCTGCCCCGCGCCAGCGCAGACGAGCCCCTCTGCTCCCCTTGCTGGCAGGTACCAGCTGGCCGTCACCCGGCGCAAGGAGGAGGAGCCCACCAGCACCAGCGTCTACAACCAGAACGACCCCTGGACACCCACCGTCGCCTTCGCTGACTTCATCGACAATGAGACCATCACTAACGAGGTGAGCTGGGTCTCCCGGGAGGAGGGGAGCTGAGCATTGCGGGCGCAGCCCCAGCTCCTGCCTAGCCAGAGGCTTCACCCGTCCCACAGCCAAACGGGGCGGCTGCTGGGCTGAAAGGGTCCGGCTCAGCCTGATGGGGCACCCGGCTCCCCTCCTGCCCAGGATCTGGTCGCTTGGATCTCTGTGGGGTTCCTGCATGTCCCCCATGCCGAAGACGTCCCCAACACAGTGACCGTGGGGAACGGCGTCGGCTTTTTCCTGAGGCCCTACAACTACTTTGATGAGGATCCCTCAGTGGACTCTCCTGACAGCGTCTACTTCAGCAGCGATCGGGATGCCGGGGCGTGCAGGGCCAACCCCCTCGCCTGCCTGCCCGCCGACGCTGCCTGTGCCCCCCACCTGCCCCCCTTCCGCTATGGGGGCTTCCTCAACCTCAGCCTGGCACTGTCGCCCGGCGGGCTCTGAGGGGGCTGGGGCCGGGGCTGCCGCTGCCCCCGTGCCCGGCTGGCGGGTGCACCCTTGGAGGGGCTCTGCTGCCGCACCAGGACCTTCTCCCCCGCGCCTGGGATGTCGCGTGCTCAGGGTCGGGCTCTCAGAGGAGCTCGGCTCTCATTTTGGCACCGCAGCGCTGCCAAAGGTGGACTCAAAGCCTCTGAAAAACAGCCCCTAGGAGTGATTTTTTTGGAGACTCCATCCAGGACGCCACCCAAAGTGCTGTGGGGTGCCCACGGCTGCTCTCCTCCCCTGGGATGGGGGCCCCTGCTGCCTCCCCAAGGTAGGTCGGTGCACACAGGGCAATGGTGCTGGCCAGGGCTGGGCACTGCACAAAGCTGCAGCTCCCCTTGGAGCTGAGGTTTTGCTCAGGGTGGTGGGAGTGGGTGGCGTGGTGGCCACCGTGGCCCAGCCGCTGCCCTGGGGGCATTGGGCTGCGGGGAGCCAACAGCTCCAGCGTGCCTGAAACACCCACCCCGATCCCACAGCCACTGCAGCCCCAGGGCTGCTGGGGCCCAAGCGACACTGAGCTCTGGGTGCCAAGCCCTGGGGACAGGGACAGAAACAGTGCACTGGGCTGCACCGGGAGCCCGCAGGAGCAGCACGCTGGAAGGCGGAGGGACGGGCACTCCCTGGGCCGAGCTGCCCCATCTGCACCCTTCTCCAATAAACAGGCACTCGGGTGCTTTTTCTGACTAAACTGCTGTGTAGCTCATGGATGCTGCTGTGGCTCCTGGCCAGAGCCCCGGCACTGTTGGTGCTGTGGGCGCTGGTGCCCTGTAACAGGCGGTCCTGGCTCAGCCCTGTGGTGCTCGCAGGGGTCCAAGGGCCATGAGGCCAGTACAGCGCCCAGACTGGCTGTGCGAGCGTGCCCCGGCCATGCTCTTGGACTCCGGGTGCTGGCAGGAGGCTCCTGACGGGGAATATGGGACAAACAAGGCAGTTAATGTGTAACAGCTGTACCGAGCCGCATTAATCGGTTCTGGCCTTGGCTGCTGCCCGGCGCAGGGACCCTTGCTCCCGCTCCCCCAGCTGCATGCACAGCCCCGGGCTGCGGGATCCCGCAGCCTCCGGAGCCCACCCCGGCCGTGCCCAGCTGTGCTGGGGACACAGGGGTTTGGTGAGGACAGTTCAGCTCCAGCCTCACAGCCCGGCCCTGGCACGTGGCTGCAGATGCCAAGCGCTGGCCAGTGTGTCCCTGGGGACATGGTGGGCACCCATCCCCTCTGACCCCTCATCGCGGGAGCTGTGTCTACCCAGGGCTGTGCTGCGGCGGGCTCAGGAAGCCCTAACAGCAGCGGCACGTGCCCCTGCGAGCCAGTCGGCTCACTGCGGTGCCGGGAAAGGGATGTTGGGCAGGAGTGGGCAGCTCGGGGGCATGGCTCAGTGCGAGGCTGCAGTGGTCCCTGGCTGCCTTGAAGTGACAGCGGGTCTGTGCCCCAGAGGCACATCCCGGGGCTTGGGGGAAGCCGGTGGGATGCTCCCCACGAGGGGAAGGTCGCTGCCGGCCGGCTCCCTGCTTGCCGCTGTGTGCCCGCGTGTTTGCGAGCGCTGCCCGGACTCTGCCCGCCTGCTGACGCAGGTGAGACCGGACACGCTCCCACGCTGGCGGTGACCCAGCTCGCTGCCCGGCCCCGCACCTCGCAGCAGGCTGGGGACCTTCTGGATGAAACACTGGCACCGCATGCAGCACGTCACCTTGCAGCACCTGCGTGTGCTGCAGCTCCCGTAGCCGTGTCCGGTGCCTTGGGAATCGCAGGGACGCGGTGTCCTGGAGCCAGCCACCACCTCCGCAGGCACACAGCTGATCCCGGGCTTTGTGCGCACGGACCCCAGCGCGGAAATAAAGCACCCCCAGGCCTGGCCCCGTTCCTCCCCTGGGCAGTTTGCGATGCGCATCCCTGGCTGGTGGTGTTACCAGAGCGGCTGCCCGGGGCAGGGTCCAAGCTGGAGCCTGGCGTAGCCCTCCCAGCAGCCAAACTGGCCAGGATGCAAAGCCCCGCAGTGCCCAGGTCAGCAGCCTCCACCACCCCAGCCTGCTCGGGCTCCGTGCAGCAGCTACAAAGCCGGGGATTTACTGGAAGCACTGGGATCCTCTGCCGTGCGAGCTCTGGGGGTCCTGCCCTGTGGCACGTGCAGCCTGGCTGCTGCACAGGGGCTGCTGGACCCTGCCGCTCCGTTGCCAGCGCTTCATGCACACTCCTGTGCCAGGAGGGAGGAGGTGGCTGCTCCCGTCCCTCTTCCTGGCCTCTCCGCTCTGCAGCCCCAGTTCTCCTGCAGTGACTCTTTCCAAGGGAACTGGAACATGCTAGTCCCCATCCCCCAACAACTTTTGCCCCCATTTTCTGCTGTGAAATCTCTCAGGGAGAATTTATCGCTGTTTCTAAATATTTTTGACGTAGAAGCCAAGTCTGTTGCATTCCTTCACACAGGCCAACGCCGTTCTTGGTTGAGGACCCTAGCATGAGTCGTTGGGGAATTTGTTTTGCAAGAGTAATTCCATTTCTGCACAAACTTCTGCTTTGCTGGGGTTTCTTTGTAGGTCGGGTGCTCAGTCCAGGGACTGGGGCTCCTGGGTCCATCTCCTGTGAGCGAGGCCGGGCTGGAAGGGACAGGGAGGAGCAGCCCTGTGGCCAGGGCTGATCCTGCAGTGTTTGTACCACTTCTCCCCCGGGCGCTTGACTTTCCTCTTCTTCACATGCATTTCCAGTTCACTGATGGCAGCTGTGAAATTGCTGCTCAGCAGGACCAGTGTGAGCCCCTGGTGCTGCCTCCCCACCGTACGCAGCCCCGGCCACCCCAGGGCTCCCCCGGCCCCGCTCCCTGGTTTGGCGAAGCTGCTCTGGTCGCGATCCGGCCCCAGGGATGGAGTTGGATCAGGCCAGGCTGGGCCAAGGGTGCTGAGCACAGGGTCAGGCTTTGGCTGTGCCCTCATTTCCCTTCACCCAGGAGCGTCAGCCCTGGTGTGACACGAGGACGCCGGGAGGGATCCCGGCTGCTGCCCGACGGGAGCCCCGTGGGGCCGAGGACAAGCTGCCCACAGAGCAGGCGCGTTGCTGGTCTGCAACTGCAGATCTGCCCAGGCAGCCCCAGCCTTGCGAGGTGGATCTCAGCAGATCTCTAATCGTCCAACTGCCTTCACAGCGCAGGCGTTTGCAAATACAATCCCTCTTCCTCGACCTGGCAGCTCTGAGAGCGGGCTGTGCCAGCACCCCAGGGAGGAAGGTTTGCTGTGGTTTTGCCTGTTAGACCCCTCAGCTCCCCAGGCCACAGGCAGGCGAGGGGGCAGGATGGTGCCCACGGTCCCCGCTGTGCAGAGCCTGCTGCTGGCGGGCAGGACTCAGCGCTGGGCAAGACCTCTGCCTGCTCTGTGCTGCGGCACACGGGTAGCGGTTCAAGGATCTTGACCTGAACTTTCTCGAGGAGGGAGATAAGTGATGCGTTTTCACTGGCTGCTAATCATTAACGCCTCGTTGCCTGTTCCCCCAAGAATGGGCAGCTGCCTGTTTTGCTGCATGGGGCCCTGCCTGGGCACCCCCATGATGGCCAGCCAGAGCTGGGGAAGGAGGTTTCTCCTGCCAGGCTGACCCCGTGTCCTGGGGCTCCTGGAAATAGCTGTCTGTGTTAGTCAATGTTACCTCATGGGGAGGAACAGGACGATGAAGCTGTGGTGCCGGCACTGCTGCCAGTGATGGCACAGAGTGACCGGGACAGGGAAGGGCCATGGACAGGGACGTGGCACCGGTCGGACAAGGGGTGTGTTCGGCTCTGTCCCCACAGCTGGGGCCTGACGGGACAGTTTTGTGCAGGAGGGGTTTAACCCAGGGGAGCTGTGCTGGGAGGAATGCCTTCCCTCACTGGGGACCTCATTCGCAAAGGTCCTTTAACCCACACCAGGGATCAGAAAAGCATCTCTGGCAGCCACGAGCTTCCCAAGGTTTGCTGTCTGAGGCTGCGGGGAGGTCCAGTAATGGCTTGGGAGGTTTCCCATTATGCAGCATCCTGGTTAAATCCGCCGGCTGGATGCCATGACAGCAAGGTGTTTTTTCATCAGCTGGAGGTTTCAGCAGATGTGGGGGTGGTCGACAGCCTGCCCCTCCCCCCGCCCCCCATGCTGCACACGACCCTGCCCACGTTTCTGGGAATCCCTGCGATGATCTGGTGGTGCTTGGGGTGATGGCAGAGGGACGGGAGAAATGTCACAGCTCGGGGCTGCAGCGGCTCTGCAGCGTTGGTCACACAGAGTGTGGATGCTTGACTCTCCTCCCTGATAACAGAGCAAAGCTGGGGTTCAGTGGGAGCAGCTGGACTGTTGCTCTGGGCAGCAGGAGGAGCAGGGGCTGCAGGATCCCCCTGAGCAAGACAGCTGCCTGCGCGCTGCGGGGAGGGGACGGTGCCGGGAAGGGTTAAGGTGCTGGTGCTGGAGCACCCCACGCTCTGCTGGGAGCCCTCAAAGCCTGTTTTTCCCTTTTACGTAAGTTGTTCCAAACATGTTTGTTACACCCCCCCGCTGATGCACCTTTGGCAAAAGTGGTTTTGGGTCCAAAGATCAGTGCTGGGACGAGCGACCTGCCCGCAGCAAACAAGAGCCTGCAGAGTATAAAACCCTGGTGTTACCTCAGTGCGCCGAGGGGCAGCAGCTGTGGAGGAGGATGGAGGCCACCATGAACCTCCTGCACGACACAGGCATCTGGGCAACGCACTGGCTGCAGGAGAACTTCCAAGGCTCCCAGGACTGGTTCCTCTTCATCTCCTTCGCTGCTGATCTCAGGAACGCTTTCTTTGTCCTCTTCCCTATCTGGTTCCACTTCAGCAAGTCAGTGGGCATCAGGCTCATCTGGGTGGCCGTGATCGGTGACTGGCTCAACCTCATCTTCAAATGGTGAGTGGCCCTGTGCCACGGCTCCCTCCGGGCGTGTCAGCACAGCTGGACTAATGCAGGCCAGATGTGCACTCTCAGCCTTGAATACACTGGTGTGAAATCAAGACCAGAGCTCGGCCCCCTGCTTAGCAGTGGTGAGGGCTGCTCCTTCCCAAGCTGTGCAGCAACAGCTCTAACCCCTTCCCAGAGGACCGGCAGAGAGACAGAGCCTCCTGCAAACAGACCTCTTTGCCGTTAGTGGCAGCTGCAGTTTTGGGGGGGGGCTGCACAGAGCCCCTCACCACGGGGGTGGCCTGGCACAGCCCACGTGCATGGGCTGCACCCACAGCCCTGCGGCAGGACCCGGCAGTGTGCTCGGGGGGTGTGCTGGCCACCCCGGCTCTGCATCTGCCCTGCAGCTTGAACCTCCTGGGGTGCCCATGCTGCCTGCTTGTGGGACAGGGATGGCTGGCCTCTGCCTCTGATGCTACCATGAGACAGTCGCTCTTGACCTGAAAAAGACTTAGAGGATGAAGACACCGCTTGTCTTTCTCAGCATGTTGAGTTGCTCCCAGGAAGTTCTTGCTCTTCCCTTTCAGGGGCCAGGGATGGGAACACATACAGTCAGGACCAAGTGACCAGCCGGGTGCTGTGTCTGTTGAGATGCCCTGGACCATTCATAGGTCCTTTGTCTCTTCCAGCTCCCAGGCCAGAGCTGAAGCTGCAGCTGTGCCCACCTGCTCTGGTGCCCAGGACCCCTACAGCCCCCGTTCTCCTTTCTTTTCAGGATCCTCTTTGGGGAGAGACCGTACTGGTGGGTCCACGAGACAGACTATTAC